TGAGCACGTGGAAAGACACGCGGTGCCACAGGTCAGAGATTCGACTTCGTGAAGACGTTACTCTCCCCCCAATCATCTATAGATCAAGGTAATCCCATCAAAATTCCTGTGAAATCTTTGGAAATTGAAAGCGGATTCAAAAACATACACAGCAGCGGCGCGGTGGCTCATGCCTTGATCCCAGCACCTGGAGGCAGGCGAGGATCTGCCGAGGTCAGGATCAGACCAGCTGAGCAAGAGCGAGACCCTGTCTGTACTATAAATAGAAGAAATTAATTGGCCAACTAAATAATACAGAAAATTAGCCGGGCATGGTGCCGCATACCTGTAGTCCAGCTACTCAGGAGGCTGAGGCAGCAGGATTGCTTGAGCCCAGGAGGTTTGAGGTTGCTGTGAGCAAGGCTGACGCCACGGCACTCACTCTAGCCTGGGCAACAAAGCGAGACTCTGTCTAAACAAAAAACAAAAACAAAAAAACCACAAGACAGTGCACACCTATTAGAATGGCAAGATTAATTAAAAATAAACCTACAAGCAACTGCTGAGGAGGGCACGTTGCTTACAAGACTCAAAACGCGCCGTCACCTGGCAACGCATGCGCGGTTTCTGAGGTGCTGCCTGCAGTCTCACCCAGGGTATCCGGGAGCAACAGTCACCTGGCAAACCATGCGCGGGTTTCTGACGCGCTGACCCTGCAGTCTCACCTCCAGGGGTATCCGGGAGCGACAGTCACCTGGCAACGCCGTGGGGAGTTTCTGAGGTGCTGACCCAGCAGTCTTACCCCCAGGGGTATCCAGGAGCGACAGTCACCTGGCAACACCGTGCGCGTTTCTGAGGTGCTGACCCAGCAGTCTCACCCCAGGGGTATCCGGGAGCGACAGTCACCTGGCAAACACCGTGGGCAGTTTCTGAGGTGCTGACCCAGCAGTCTCACCCCAGGGTATCCGGATCTTTAGGGTGTCTTTAATGTTCTCCATCAGCGTCTTGTGATGTGTTTTCAGCCTGCATATCTTGCACATTTAAAATAATTTGTTTCTCTATCTTTTGTGTTTTTAACGGGACGGGCAAAGTAGCCCAGAGCCCGGTGCCCTACGAGAGGGGCGTGTGTTTGCCGCCCGCCCTGGGTGCTTTTCTGGAGCGAGGAGAATGTTTCGGTGGACGGGGAAGGGTCACCCGTGCCTGTTTCGGTACTGTGAATCTGTACACGGTAGACACATGCTGCACAGATATATTTGTGTGTGTGCTGTTGACATTCCAGCCACAAGGTGCTGAGCCTGCGTAAGGCGCACGGAACGGCTTGGCGTGGACGTCCCCGAACTTTGGGGCCCGCGCCCGAGGCTCTGTTTTCCTCCCTCTGGGCGGGGCAGGGGTCTCCGGGCAGATCTCCCCTTCAGAGACGCCGGTCCCAAGGCCAGACCCAGCTCTGTGGCTCCTTCCCGCCGTCTCTTCACGGCCCATGAAGAGCTATGAACAGCTCAAGCGCTCGTATGAACTGCCCTTGAATGCACGTGCACACACACGTAGACACACACGTGTTCTAAGCTATAGCTCACATAGGCGCGCGCACACACACACGTGTCCATTAAATCCTTGTGAACACTCTGTGAGGTGAGTCCTGCTCCCGCCTGCGTTTTGGAGGAAGGACGCCCTGGCGTGGAGGGCCGAGACCACCGCCTGCGCGGGGACTTGCCCTCCCGTCCCTCAGCTCCTGCACCTGACGCAGGTGATGCTCTGATACCGGAGCGTGAAATGCCGGTTCCTGCGGCGTGCGAGGGGGTGCGGCGTGGCCCCTTGCTGGAGGGGCCTGCCTTGAGTCCGGCTGTTTGGGGTAAGCCGCAGGGCTGACGCTTCTCCTCTGCTGGCCCGCTGCAGGGAAGGTGGCCATCCGCAAGGAGGACCTGCCCAAGTACCACAACAGGGACACCTGGTTCCAGCTGCAGCACGTGGACGCCGACTCCGAGGTGCAGGTGAGACCTGGCCGAGCCCCGGGAACGGGGGCCGGAAACGGACACGCAGGCTTTTGGGGCGTCACAGAGAACGGTGGCCGCAAACCGTGGGTTTGTGCTCAGAGACTCACGCGTAGGCTCGTTAGTCTTGCGTGTTCCATCGGTTTCTGCCACGCCTGGTCCTGCCCGGCCGGGGCAGCGTCACGGACACTCGAGGCGGGCGGGCAGCAGCGCCTGGCGCAGGCGAGGGGGCCCCGGCGGGCGTGTGGGGCGCAGAGCCCCCGAGGGAGAGCCGGTCTCGCCCCGTCCCCGGTCAGAGCTGAGCGGGCCGGGTGCTCCCACCGAGCCCCGCAGCCTCCCCAGGGCCGTGCCCGGCCTAACGCTCCGTCCGTCCCGCAGGGCCAGGTCCACCTGGAGCTGCGGCTGAGCGAGGTCATCACAGACTCGGGCGTCGTCTGCCACAAGCTGGCCACGCGGTAAGCCCTTCCCGCCGCCCCGGTGGCAGGCCGACTCCCGGGACGCGAAGCGGGTTGTTTTTTAAGCAAACGTCAGAATCTCCAGACTTGGTGATTCCCCAAGACGACGACGTTTTTAGACGTTCCGGAATGTTCTTTTTAGCATGCTCGGCAAAGCAGGCGTCACCCGTAGGGTGCCGTTTGGGGCTTTTACGCACGGGCACGGTTGCTCGGTGCCGCGTGCGGGCGGTGATTAGCCAGGCCTCCCCACTGAGACACGAGGAGAGGGGTCGGGGCTCGAACCCGCCAAGCCCAGAGTCTCCCCCCTCTGCTTTCCTGGTCATCTGTCCCTCCTCCGAGCCACCCTTCCCGCCTCTCGTGACACCGGGTCGCTGGGCTCTCCCAGCCGACGCAGGGCGTGGGCGCCGCCAGCTGCAGCCGCCCTGGGTCCTGGGCTCTGTCCTCGCTGGGCTCACAGCAGCCCTGGCGGCGTCCGGCTTTTAGGGCACGTAAGTGACCCTGACAGCGTCCGGGCACAGAGATCCGAAATAGGGTTAGACGTACGACTCCGTGGTGTCCTCGCTCCTGCCCGGAGCCGCCCAGCGGGGAGTCGTTCCACTCATCCATTCACTCATCCACTCAGCCATCATCCACCCACCATCCACCCATTACCCACCATCCACCCATCATCCATCATCCATCTATTCTTCCACCATCCATCCACCCACCATCCACCCATCATCCATCTATCCTTCCCCCATCCATCCACCCACCATCCACCCATCATCCATCTATCCTTCCCCCATCCATCCACCCACCATCCACCCATTACCCATCTTCTATCCATCATCCATCTATCCTTCCCCCATCCATCCACCCACCATCCACCCATTACCCACCATCCACCCATCATCCATCTATCCTTCCCCCATCCATCCACCCACCATCCACCCATTACCCATCTTCCACCCATCATCCATCATCCATCTATCCTTCCACCATCCATCCACCCACCATCCACCCATCATCCATCTATCCTTCCCCCATCCATCCACCCACCATCCACCCATTACCCACCATCCACCCATCATCTATCATCCATCTATTCTTCCACCATCCATCCACCCACCATCCACACATCATCCATCTATCCTTCCCCCATCCATCCACCCACCATCCACCCATTACCCATCATCCATCTATCCTTCCGCCATCCACTCATCCATCATCCTGCCACCACCCACCATCATCCACCCATCATCCATCTATCCTCCCACCATCCATCCATCACCCACCACCCTTCCACTATGCACTCATCCTTCACCATCCACCACCATCCATCACCACGAGCCATCCCCATCCCATCCTCATTACCCATCATCCACCATCATCCATCATCCATCTATCCTTCCATCCATCCGACCCACCCATCCCTTCCAGCTTGCCCTCATCGCATTCACTCCATCAACCATCAACCCATCATCACCCATCATCCTTCCCCATCCTATCCCCCACCACCACCCATTACGGGTTGTCCACCCTCATTCATCATCCTTCCTCATTCCACTCATCCTCATCCTGCACCACCACCATCATGCACCTTCTGCAGTAGCACAGGCTTTTGGAAGACAGCCACAGTTGGACTTGCACCTGGCACACCATGCACTTTGGGACAGCAGCATCATCTTTGAGTCTCGTTTCCTGGCTGACAAATGGGAGTCAATAAGCTTCATGCTTTCTGATGCCTGGTGTTTTATTACCAGCAGTTTCTGGGTCTGGGACGTCAACTGCAAGCACACGGGCTGCGTTCTGTCAAGCCGGTGGGGGATGTCTGCAGGGCGCTCAGTTCTACGAGGCCGTTACTCTGTGCCGTTTTTAAGGTTATATCCAACCATCAAAACCTATGAAATGTTAGTGAATACAACGTGTTGTGCTCCTTGCACTCTGAATCCCAGATTAGTTGGCTGCGTTGCCACTTGGTGTGTTTTCCCGGTTCAGGGAGTGAGACGCCCTTCCTGAGGGCAGAGTGGGGTCTCTGCCTTCCCTCCTGTGTTTGGGACTCCTGTCCTGGCCGGCTGCTTCCGCGCACACACGGGGACGGCGTTTCAGGCTGGGGCTCTGGGGGTGTCCGAGGGGGCCACCGAGTTCCCCGCCGGCTGTGCGTTTCGGGGATGGCCGCCCCAGGGATCTCTCCTCCTGCTCCCGGACATTTTCCTGTAGCGCACTGGGGGCCAGGGCGGTGCGGGAGGTGCGTGAGTGAAGGAGCTGACCAGAGCCAGGTGAACAAATCTTGGAGAAAACAGAAACACCCCACAGAAAGCAGAGGAAGGCGGGAAAGATCGAAAAGCGCTGGTTGGAGCTCATAGGAATAAAGGATCCATTGCGGAAGGCAGGATTCGGAGAAAAAATGGTACACGAGCAGAGAGAGAGGGAACCCAGAACGGCCCAGCGTGGGGGCGGCGTGGCGCACGCCTGCTGTGGACGGAGACAAACCCCTGCGTAGAAAGGTTCCCTGAGATGCTCAGAGGCGCCGAGGGCCTCCAGGGGGCGGCAGCTCCGGGCACACCTGCCGGCCGCACGCTGGCCAGGCGGGGGGGGGCAGGCGTGGAACGCTTGGAGGCTCGGGAGGACGTCCTACCTGTATCAGCCCCAGCCTGCGCGGCCTGTGCCCGTGAAGCTCACGGGAGGACGGACACCGGTCCTTGCGCCCCACACACGTGAACCCACGGAACGTGCCGAGCGCCGCACCGGCCTCCGGACGCGGGCTCCTTGGGCCAGGTGTCCCTGGGAGGAGGCCCCGCACCTGCAGGCCCCAGGCAGGGTCCTGGCCGAGTGGCGGGAGGTGAGGTCGCGGGAGTCCGAGGGCATCGTGGTGCACTGCGGGGAGCGCCCCTCGGGGCGCACGAGTCCGCGCACACACGCCGGTCTGAGCCGCCACCGCGGGTGCGAGCTTCGGAAGGCAGCAGGGGTGGACGGGCGACCCCGGCCCATGCAATTCACGACGTCCAGCCGCCAAGCAAAACGCGACCCGCCAGGACGGCAAGCAACGGTGTCGTAGCCGTGCGACAGTTTTTCCAGAGCTTGCAGCACACCGAGCCGTCGCAGCACGCCGCCGCACGGGTTGGGAATCCGCGGCGGAGTGAAGTCCGACCGGGGCGGGGCGTCCAGGCCGCGGGGGTCGCGAGGCTGCAGTTTCCCGTCTGTGAAATTGGGACTTGAGTTGTTCCTGCTTCTGCGATGCTGCAGGAGAGCCAGGGAGGCCGCGCAGAACCCAGGACACCGCCATGGAGCCGGGTCTTCGGGCGGCAGCTTGTTCTGGACCTGCCAGGGGGACAACCCCCTCCAGCCTGAGCCCAGACGCAGCTGCCCCGCAGCCACGTGCAGCTGTCACCCGCCCAGTGGCGGGGCTCCAGGAGCCCGCCCCCTGGCCCTTACCTGTGGCCGCGTTCCCCCAGCCTGCCCTTGTCTCCCAGCGTCGTGGAGTGCCAAGGCTCCCCCATGCGTGAACGGGCAGTGTGACCCTTTACGGCCACCGGTGACACTGGCAGGACCACTCAGGCAAGTGCCCCCCGGGCGGTGCTGGGAGGGGGGGCCGCGGGGCGTGTCGTTCCCGCCTTTCCTTTTCTGCTCTGTTGTTGTGTGACAAGAAGCCCTGTGTCGCCCACGTGTCTCACTGGGTGTCCTGCTCAGCAAGGCTCCTGGTTTGCCACTGGCAGGCTGAGACAGAGGATGTTTATAAGCTAAATAAGGTGGAACTTTTTGTGTGCTCCTGAGAGCTTACTTTTTGTTTTGTGGGGTTTTTTTGAGACAGAAGGCTCACTGTTGCCCGGTTAGAGTGGCTGTGGCGTCAGCCTAGCTCACAGCCAAACCTCCCAGACTCCTGAGCTCCAGTGATCTCCTCCGCCTAAGCCTCCTGAGTAGCCTGGGACACAGCATGCGCCAACCACGTGCGCCAGCTAATTTTTCCTATATACTTTTTAGTTTCGCCTAATTCTTTTGTTTTCAGTAGAGAAGGGGTCTTGCTCTGCTCAGTCTGGTCTCAAACTCCTGACCTCCCAAGCGAATCATCCGGCCTCGGCCTCCCAGAGTGCTGGGATATACAGGCGCCGTGAGCACCGTGGCCGGACTCAGAGCTCGGTTTTGAGACCTGAGAGATTTGGTCCCTGGTGTTTTGACCCGACCTCCCCTCTCTTTTCGACAGGATCGGAAGCCAGAAAGACAAAAGTGAAAAAGAAGACCAACAACCCCAGTTTGACGAGGTGTTACTTTGAGGTGGTATCCGCGGTGCCTGGCCGTGGTCCTCTGGGAGCCGTTTCGGGACAGCCCGCGGCAGCCCTGGGATTGGGACCACGTGGCTCCTCCGGGAACCCCCCATCCCTCATCCCCAGAAGAAAGGGCCGGCTTGTGTTGAAAGCGCGCAGGTCGATGCCTTCCAGACGGCGAGTTGGGAGTTTGCTTGCCCGGTGTTGGGTCTCTGGTTTTGCAGCTGCCCCCGCCCGGGCTCAGACCGCGCAGGCCGGGGGCTTTGTCCCCGGCGACAGTGAGGTCACGGTTCAGAACACCGGGTCACAGGCCTGAACGTGAGCTCCCGCGATCAGTAGTGGCAGCGCCAGGGGCTGAGCCTCCCAGAGCAGGACAGGTGCCAGTCTGAGCGGCAGCGAGGCCCCGTCTCTGCCAAAACGGATAAGTCACCGCGGGCCGGCGGGGCGATTTGCCTGTGTCCAGCAACTCGGGAGGCCCGAGGCGGAGGCTTGCCCTGAGCCAGGAGCTGGAGGCTGCGTTGAGCTGTCACGACACCCGCTGCCAGCTGCGTGACAGAGCGCGACCCTGTCTCAAATAATAATGAAAACGAAAGAACGCAGCAAGCAGGCGCTGTGCAGCCTGTGGAGCACGTCACTTCCTGTCGTGACGCTCCGGGTGTGCTGGCCTCTGCTGGTAGCCTTTCCATATTTGAGGGAAGGAGGCAGGGCAGTGCTCGTCTTTTGTTCTTCTCACCGCTCCCAGACGCCGGCACAGTTTCT